AGATTGAAGGATGATAAGCTCCACTCTAGACATGTTAAAGTGACAGTAAGGGAAGTGGAAATGTTGAGCAAGTTGTTGGTCATGTAGATCTGGGTTTCAGGAGCTGTGTCTGACTTGGAGACACAGATCTGGGAGATATTAGCATATAGATGATACGTGAAGACATGGGTGTGAAGGAGAAGGGATGAGAAGCCTGCAAGACTTAAAAGGAACGACCGGAGGAGAAACAGGAAAACTTGGTTAAGCTTAGAGAAGTGACTGTTTCAATGAAGGGGGAGTGGTCAACATTAGCATAGGCTCCTGAGAGATCAAAGAATTTAAACACTTTACGGTACCGTTGAATTTACAATTAATGATCTATCTGATGATCTCTGTGAGGGCTGTTGCAGAGGAAAACAGGTGAAGAATCCAGATTACACAGGGTTCCTTCATTTAAGGAGCTGTGCTAAATACAACCCCTCTGCTGGGCACTAGAGGTGGGGATTCAGACTCAATACCTCCAGGAGGGGCCTTGCGCCAGCTAGGTTGAATGAGAGATGTGGTTGGATAAGACTGGAAGACAAGAAAAGCAGTAGTGATGTTGACTCAGGATGATGGATTTCAATTTCATTGTAAAATTTAATTTTTTAAGGTTGGCAGAGTTTAGTTTTTAGGTTTGAGAGGCAAGAATCACCTGTCATCTTCATCCAGGCTCCCACTAGGCTCATTGGTTCCCATTAGGCTCTATACTACTTCTCCATAATGTGAAGTCACTTGTTCCGTCATTCATATAATTCCTTAAAGGGTGCTCTAATAAAGTCAGTGGGCACCGTTACTATTTAGTTGGTGGCGTTATAAAGGCTTAGGCGAAGTCCAGTGGGGGTGGCACCCAGATAGACGCTGCTGCCCCAAAGTGAAGGGGTGGCAGTGAAACTGGAAGGCTGTTGGTTTGAGGGGATAGGTTTTGAGGGCTCAAGGTGGCCACATGATGGATAGAGGTTGGGATGAATTCCCTGTAGGCCCCTCTGGGATTCAAGTCTTGGCCCTGAGGTCACTGTGCAGCTGACAGTGGGCAGAATCCTATCCATACTTTTGCTCTCAGGCTCAGGCCTGTTTGGGGCCATAGACTGGGGTGGGGGTGGAGGGTGATAAGCCAAGGCATAAATTAAAGTGCTGGGAAGTAAAACTGAGGGTGATAAGCAGGGGTGGTAATTGCTTTGGGGAGGGGGAGGAGCCCCACCTCTCAGGGGAACTTTTGGCTGGGAGCTGATGAAAGCAGCTGCAGAAGGAAATCATTACGTTTAAGGCCACGCCCCCTCCCTCCCATGAGCTATCCGGGGCTTCTGGTTGGCCTGCGGTGGCCAGACCCCTGATCAGCTCCAGGCCGGCCTAGAGCCCCCACAAGGAAGTGACCACAGCACTAAGGCATCCGGAGGCAGTCTGCCCAAACCACAGACCAACCCCAGCTCCGCCCCTTGGATCTGCCTCCGGGACTTGAGGGAATTTCCTTTTATGGCCCCAGGCTGTCAGGCAGGCCCTGTTCCCACCCAATTGTTTTGGTGGTTGTTTTTTCTTTTTGTACAGTTCTTTTACTTTATAAAATACAGGTCCATGGGAAAAGAAAAAAGTTAAGCAGTTTTCTTTCTACACGAAGCCACTGATTTTCTTGAGTTTTCTGGGCCCAGGATTGTTTGCATAAAGGAATCCTGTTTTATGTGGTAGTTTGATAGCTGCCTCATCAGTAATGGCTTATCAAAAGCATTTCTCATTTTCATTATAAACCCTTCTAAAACTTTTTAAATTCCATTCCATTTTTAAATCTTAGTTTCAACCAGAGCCAATCAGTAAGTTTGCCCCCCTCCCATGAATGTGGCATTCTTTCTCCACGACTCTGCACCCCCAACATGCACTGAACCCTTTGTCAGTCCATTCTCTCAAGAAGCTTACAATCTGACAGGACAGCCCATTCATGGATTTTTACATTCGAGTGTTATAAATATTATAGTAGGGGGATGTACAAGATGCAGTGGGAAACAGAAAGGACCAACAGATGTTGCAAAAGGGATGTAGAGGATCCAGATAAAGAATGCTACCATTTAATGAGATAGGGCATGCCAGAGAAGGGCTGGAGGGAGATGTTGATGAAAACAATGAATCTTAAGGACTTGTTGAGGTTGCATTTGAAGCTCAGGGGGAAGTCTGAATTGGACAGCTTTGGGAGCTGCTGACGTGAATGAGAACTAGAGTCCTGGAGAGGTAAGGTTGCTCGGGGTGAGTACACAGAGGGACAATATGAGGCCATTGCCTGCATTCCACCTCCAGATAAATGACCATTGCCTCTTCCTTCAAAGGGACGATCATGGCTTCTCCCCCTTGCACTGGGCTTGCCGAGAGGGCCGCTCTGCTGTGGTTGAGATGCTGATCATGCGGGGGGCACGAATCAATGTGATGAACCGTGGGGATGACACACCCTTGCACCTGGCAGCCAGCCATGGGCACCGTGATATTGTACAGAAGGTGTGTATGATCCCCTCCGTTCCCTGCGTCAGTCACAGGCACTGTAACATACTGGGGAAAGTATGTGTACTCTTCTCCCTCCTCACCTGCCTCAACACCCCTCTCATTTGGGACTGACTGCGCTTTCTGCCTCTTCTTTCTGTTGTCTGGCCCTGGGAACCAGCTGCTGCAGTACAAAGCTGACATCAATGCAGTCAATGAGCATGGGAATGTGCCCCTGCACTATGCCTGTTTTTGGGGTCAAGATCAGGTGGCAGAGGTAAGTACTCAGGCCCTCAGCCCTGGGATGGGTGGGAAGTCTGAGCCTCAGTGGGAGATCTGGAGTCCTCATCCTATCCTGTGAGCACTGCAGAGTACAGGACACTCATAGGATTTGTACTGCATCTGATTGTTGTTGTGGTTGCCAGGGAGGTGGCAGGGGCCATCATCACAACCACCTTTTCATTCCAGGACCTGGTGGCTCATGGGGCCCTTGTCAGCATCTGCAACAAATATGGAGAAATGCCTGTGGACAAAGCCAAGGCACCCCTGAGAGAGCTGCTTCGAGGTCCATCCCCCAACCCCCAGCTGTGTCCTCTTGTCTTGTCCCTGCCTGTCTCCTCAGCTGAGGCCAAGACTGTTTGTCTTTCTTCCCCAGAACGGGCAGAGAAGCTGGGCCAGAATCTCAACCGTATTCCATACAAGGACACATTCTGGAAGGGGACCACCCGCACTCGGCCCAGTGAGTCAGTTGTGAGGAAGGGGTGGTAATAGGAAATAATCCTGGGTTTCTCCAGCTGGGTACCTGACCTGCTTACTTCCTCAGGGAATGGGACTCTGAACAAACACTCCGGCATTGAGTTCAAACAACTCCACTTCATTACAAAGATCAACCAGAATCACTCTGGAGAGGTGACCCCTGCCTTTCATGCCCCTCCCTCCCCAATTACATGATCTGCACCTCCTTTTAAGTTTCTTCTCGTTAGTGGGCTTGAAAGTTAAAGCCTCCTAACCCTTACCTGTCCCTCAGCTATGGAAAGGCCGCTGGCAGAGCAATGACATTGTCATGAAGGTGCTGAAGGTTCGAGACTGGAGTACAAGGAAAAGCAGGGACTTCAACGAGGAGTGTCCCCGGCTCAGGTGGGGCACGGCCTAAACTGGAAGCTACTGCTTCCAAGGAACCTGACTTAACACCCAAGATGTTTTACTCTTATTCTTAGCCAGGGACACTCTCTTCCTCTTCCAGGATTTTCTCGCATCCGAATGTGCTCCCAGTGCTAGGTTTCTGTCATTCTCCACCTGCTCCTCACCCGATTCTCATCACACACTTGATGCCACATGGATCCTTGTACAACGTACTACATGAAGGCACCAGTGAGTAGGGGATGCCAGGTCTCACTGAAGAGAGGTATGTGAGCCTCTCCAAGCTATTTGACTCTTGCCTCCTCTCCTAGGTTTTGTTGTGGACCAGAGTCAGGCTGTGAAGTTTGCATTGGACATGGCAAGGGGCATGGCCTTCCTACACACACTAGAGCCCCTCATCCCACGACATGCACTCAATAGCCGAAGTGTAATGGTGAGGTTACAACTTCACTCCTGGCTCAGTCCCCCAGACCTTCCCCTATCTAGTAATCTTCTCTTCCTCAGATTGATGAGGACATGACTGCCCGCATCAGCATGGCCGACGTCAAGTTCTCTTTCCAATGCCCTGGGCGCATGTATGCACCTGCCTGGGTGGCCCCTGAAGGTGAGGTTATGTGGGAGATAGAGAAGGGCAGCTCAGTAGCAGTGGAGGTGGGGCAGAGACAGGACTGGAGAGGCAGCTGGAACAGATAAGTGTTATCCCTCCAGCTCTGCAGAAGAAGCCTGAAGACACAAACAGACGCTCAGCAGACATGTGGAGTTTTGCAGTGCTTCTATGGGAACTGGTGACACGCGAAGTGCCCTTTGCTGACCTCTCCAACATGGAGATTGGAATGAAGGTGAGAGCACGTGTTGGGGCAGTGACGGTAGTAGTGACAATTGTAGAGGGCTGGGCTTTTCCCACAGTTGTTCAAATATACAGTCATCCTGTCCTGATGGCTGGAGGCCTCTCGCTACATAGGACTCATGTTCTGAGACCCACCTTGTTTTTCCCTGCATTTACAGGTGGCACTGGAAGGCCTTCGGCCTACCATCCCACCAGGCATTTCTCCCCATGTGTGTAAGCTCATGAAGATCTGCATGAATGAAGACCCTGCCAAGCGGCCCAAGTTTGACATGATTGTGCCTATCCTGGAGAAGATGCAGGACAAGTAGGGCTGGAAAGTCCTTACCTAAACTTAAGAGGTGTGGGACACAGTTAGGGGAATGCACCACCCAAAGCAGCAGGACTCTGGTTGCCTCCCCTGCCTCCAGTCATGGTACTACCCCAGCCATGGGGCCCATCCCTGCCCCCATCCCTAGCACTGTGGCCCCAAAAGGGGCTGGGCTCAGAGCTTTGTCACTTGCCACACGGTGTCTCCCAGCATGGGAGGGATCAGCCCTACCTGTCACAATAAAGTTTATTATGAAAACAGGCTGGTGTGGGGATAAGGGGACAGACAAGTACATATAGGTTGGGTGGCTCAGGTGAAATAGTGCGGCTTCTTCACATTGATGCCATACTCGCTGAGGGCAGGGGTCAAGTCCTCCATGGTTAGAGTGTACTTGCGGTCCTGGGGGGAAAGGGAAGAGTACTTGCTGAACACAGGAATCATGATTTCGGTCCCAGGGAGGTGACCCTGAGTAAGTTTTTTACTTCCCCTAGGGTTTAGTTTCCCCCAAAGGGGTTGCAGGATAAATTAAGCCTCCGCTGCTGTGGGAGGTAATTACTGATTCAATGAGTCTCCCCTCACACCTTGCTCTTGCTTCGGGAGCTGCCAGAGGCTGTGCCCTTCATTTTGCAGTGCTGTAGTGCATCGTTGGCAATATCTGAGATGAATTTCTGGGCGGCTAGGGAGATGAGCCGAATTCTAGAGAGAGAACACTGGCATAAGAAGATGGACAGCAAGCAACACACAAGCACCCAAAGCTCCAACCTGTCCAGAATTTACTCACATGCGAGGGTCTGAGGCCTCAAAGCCAGCGCGGTTCAGGTAGTAACCAGTCACTGCGTCTGGGATCTGAGAAATCAATGAGACGTCTGTCAGGGCTCGCCCTGAGCCCTGCTGGGCTAAGGTGAGGGCAGAGGGCAGGCCTGGCTATGGAAGCTCGCAGTTGTATGGGCAGAGGGGAAATCACAAGAGCTGGCAGAAGGGCAAACAACAAGCAACGGGTGTTGGGAACCCCGACGGTGTGGCAGGAAGCTGGCGGGACGGCGGGCCAGTGGCCCAGGGCGGGCGGGAAGCCCACCGTAGGCGTGTAGTCCTCCAGCTGCATCAGGAAGTCCACCAGCGGCGTGCTGGACACCACCGGCTTCTCAGCTGCAGGATGAAGACTTGTCACAGAATCTCAGTCTGGATTCTTCCACACTTCTCTCACATATCTGCAATCTTTTTCCTACTTCACTGGGTCTCTGAGGAGCCTAAATGGAATACTCTGATGGGAGAAGGAATTAA